TATGATTCCAAATCCATAGAGACAGAAAGTAGATTAGTGGTTGCCAATGATTGGAGGAGGGAGGAATGGGGAGTAACTGATAATAGGTTCAGGGTTTCTTTTTGGGGTAGTGAAAATGATCTAGAATTTGATAGTGGCGATAATCATACAACCTTGTGAAGATAGTAAAAACCACTGAAATATGTCCTTTAAATAGGTGAGTTTTGTCATATGTGAATTATCTCAATTAAAAGAACACTTTTTATAAAAGTCCTTAATGGTGGGATAATACAGAATATGAGAAATCAGAATGACTGAAATAGAATGCTGTGAAATCATTGAAAGATATGAAAGATTTTCTATTGTAAAATAAAAAATCTGACCATTTCTATAGTTGCTTAAAGATAAATAATCCTTTTTTTGTTTGGTGACTAAAAAAGAAAATGTTTGCTGAACCAAAGCCATAGTTAGGTAATGAAGAACAAGTCAAAAACCATGAAAATATACTGTTCTAATTTTTAACTATTACTATTATAGTTACTGTACACTGAAATTCATTCAGTAGATTAAAAAAATCTGTACAGGCAATCAATATTAATGAAATATCTAAAGCAAATTCATAGCCTGAAGAGATTTATGTGATCTTTCTCTATTGCACATCTAATAGTTTCCAGCTTTAACAAATTGCATAGCTCTAGACCTACAGCCTTTCTGTTGTAGTTATGTGGAAAGTTGCCAAAAAATGTTTCCTGCTAAAATAGCTTTATCCTTTGTCATTTTACTGGTAAGATTCATATAACATTTGACAAATTTGCATAATAAATTTGTAAGATTAAAAGATTTAATATATATATTTAAATGTCACTGTTTGTCAAGTTAAATAAATTATGACCCACAGTTGAAGTTTGAAGATAAAACCCATAAAGCCTTTATGTTTGCTTGGCTGTAGCTGGGAGTTAGGAATAGAGACCATAAGGGGGGTTGGGGTGGGGAGAGAACCTTTACATACTTCATCACTTGTAAAATCCTAACAAACACAGACAGCCACAAATTCCAGAGCTCTCCCAGTTCATATAACACTAGTGTTATTTAAGTGGGATATTATCCTGTTTGATAACAGCCTGCTTAAAATGTCTATCCACAAACAATAATGTAAGGTGATACTTAGCTGGATATTTTAATAGAGGTGAATTGTCAACTGGCTGTGACATAAAGTTGGGGGGGAAATAGGTAAATTTCTACCTATAAATAAAAATGATTTTAAATTACATACACATTATATATTTGTATATATGTGTACATATATATTTAAAAGTTTTATTGAGGTATATTTCACATATAACAAGATCACCATGTAAGTATAGCATATACAGTTCAATGATTTTTAGTAATTTATACAGTTGTGTAACTATCACCACAAAAAGTTCCCTTGTTCCTGCTTGCAATCAATCCCCACTCCCACCGCCAGTCCCAGGGAACCACTGATCTGCTTTTTTGTTTCTACATTTTCACCTGTTCTAGAAATTGCATATAATAGAATCATACAATATGTTGTGTCTGATTTCCTTTATTTGAGGTTTATCTATTTTTGTATGTATTATATTTTGTTCCTTTTCAATGCTAAGAAGTATTCCATTTTATGGATATATCACAATTCATTTATTTATTCACCTGTGTGGATTATTTCAGATTTTTGGATCTTGTGAACAATACTGCTATGAACAATTGCATACAAGTCTTTGTATAAAAATATGTGTTCATTGCTCTTGTGTAGATACCTAGGAATGGAATTGATAAGTCATACAGTAAGTACATATGTTTAGCTGCAAAACTGTTTTCCAAAGTAGTCATACTATTTTACATGTACAGCAGCAATGTATGAAGTTTCTCCACATTCCTGCCAACAGCTAGTATTGCCAGTCTTTGATAATATGGGCATTCTAGTGGGTATCAAGTATATCATACTGTGGTTTTAATTTGTATTTCTCAATGGCCAATAATGCCGAGTATCTTTTAATGTGCCTATTAGCTATTCATGTGTTTTCTTCAGTAAAATGACTATTTATATCATTTGCCAAAAATATTTTTTAAAATATATTTTTATTGATTTTCAGAGAAGAAGGGAAAGAGGGAGAGAGAGAAACATCAGTGATGAGAGAGAATCATTGATCGGCTGCCTCCGCATGCCCCCTACTGGGGATTAAGCCTGCAACCCAGGCATGTGCCCTTGATCAGAATCAAACCCAGGAAGGACCCTTCAGTCCACAGGCCAATGCTCTATGCACTGAGCCAAACTGGCTAAGGCCCAGAAAGATTTTTTAATACTGCTTGTATCAGCCAGGGAAATGCTCCAAAACACAATTGAGATCTGTTGCACTGGGGAACTTATTTTCTACCCCCATTATTGACTCCTGGCTTCCATCAGCCAAGCTTACCTTGGCATGGTTTGGATTCAAGACCTAATTAATTCTGTGCTGGTAGCAAAGAGTTCATATTGAGATGATTTTTAAAAATACTTTTTTATTGATTTCAGAGAGGAAGGGAGAGGCAGAGAGAAACATCAATGATGAGAGAGAATCATTGATTGGCTGTCTCCTGCATGCCTCACATTGGGGATTGAGCCTGCAACCTGGACGTGGACCCGGTCAGGGAATCGAACCACTGTGACCTCCTGGTTCATAGGTCAACATTCAACCACTGAGCCACGTCAGCTGGGCTTGAGATGATTTTTAATACCCAGCAGATTATCTTTCTTTATGCTGTATCTCTTATATTGCATATTACTTTTGGTATCAGCTTTATTCTTTGCCCAGTATACTGGTATGATAGTTCTGCTGATGTTTTATTGTTTATTGGTGAACATAACTTCATTAAGAGTTTTTGGAAAACTTGTCAAACTCAAATGAATAAGTCTTCTTCATAACCCATTTGGAATTATTCTTAATAAAGTGCTAAAATATGTAAAAAATATTTTGAACTAAATTATGCACAAATATACATAGTAAGCAGTTAAACTGTGCTTTGAAAGAGGTTTATAGACTTAAATAAAATATATTAGTAAGAACAAATGCTGAATATTAATGAATTAAATACCTCTGTAAGAAGATACAGGAAATAAAAAATAATAAAATAGGGCCAAAGAAAGTTGAAGGAGGTCATAAAGAGTAGAAATGAATGAACCAGAAACAAATAGTAGAGAGAAACAACAAAGCCAGAGCTCAGTTCTTTGCTCCTAATAAAATGGATAGATCCCTGGAGAATCTGGTTGAGGAAAAAAATAGGTAACTAGTGTTAAGAGTAAAAGTGGATATTATAACTAATCCCACAAATATTAACAAGGTAATAAAAGGATTTTATGAAAATTCATGCCAATGAATTTAAAAATTTTGATGAGGTAAATTTCTAGAAAAATACAACTCACCAAAACCAACACAAAAAAGAAATAAGAAATTTAAATAGTTATAGAATGGTTGAAGAAACTGAATTTGTAATTAAACTATTAAACTAAATAAATAAAATTTATAATAAAAATCCTTCTCAATCTGCCGAAACCGGTTTGGCTCAGTGGATAGAGCGTCGGCCTGCAGACTGAAAGGTCCCAGGTTCGATTCCGGTCAAGGGCATGTACCTGGGTTGCGGGCACATCCCCAGTGGGAGATGTGCAGGAGGCAGCTGATCGATGTTTCTCTCACCGATGTTTCTAACTCTCCATCTCTCTCCCTTCCTCTCTGTAAAAAATCAATAAAATATATTTTAAAAAAAAAAATCCTTCTCAATCAGATGGTTTTATCAGCTAATTCTACCAGTTGTTTAAGGCAGAAATAATTTTAATTTTACACGAATTATTCCACAGAATAAAAAGAAGAGGGACCATTCCTTGTTTTATACAGCCAACAACAACAACAAAAAGTATAAACCAAAAATATAAGAAAAGAAGGAAATGAACACAATTAAAGTCAGAATAATGGGTAACTTTAGGTAAGAGCGAAGAAGTAATTTGGAAGGGCAGTCAGGTAGGCTTCTGGGGCCTGGCAGTGTTGTTTCTTAACGTAAGAGGTAGTTTCCACTAATTTGCTTTATAATAAATCATTAAGATGCACATTTCTGTGCATAAACTTTGCTGTATGTGTATTATAATTCATAATAAAAATTTTATTTAAATGTATGGGACCAGTGTCACTTAGTAAGAGAATAATATAAATATTTGTTGACTCTCATTCTTAGATTTCAGTAGTTTTCTTGACTCTATCTTTACTCACTCTAACAGATTTACAACTTTCATTTCTTGGAGATAATTTTTTAGAGATTAATCTCTTTAATGTTTATTAGCCTCCAAATTCTATCAACATACATTATACTGAAATAAGTCATTATAATTCACATTTTCTCATAAATACATCTATTGAATATTCTATACTGCCTAACAAGGGACACTGTTTTTAAAACCCAAAATTTAATTATGGGTGATAACACACAGAGATTAACCAATAATCTGTATGTCTGCAAGGTGCATATTATAAAGACAAATGAAATGGGACCAAATAAACATCAACTCAGCAGTTTTTCTGGGGACTTGTACAATCTATTTCCTATCATTGATCACTTTAATCTATTTGTTTTCAGTCTTTGTCTGTTCAGCCATAGTTCAAAACCCAGGCATCTGTTTAGATGTAAAAAGCTCTCACAGTAATAGGAAATTTGATTTAATGATCTAAAAAATGAATGATCTTTAAGACCAAGCCATTTTACTTCTTTAAAACTATACTAGAAGGAACAGCTAAGTGAATTTCAAATTCTATTTTGACAGCAATTACAAAGCCTATAGTGAACTACTGTTCCTACCCGCCTTTCTAAACAACTTTTAACATCTCCTTTAAGGTGAATAATAAGCATCAAAATATAGTGGACTAAAACAATTCCAACTCAAATTATGGAGACGAAAAACCAAAACTTTGTCTGTACACTGTCCTGAGTTTGATAAACTTAAATAAAAGTAATATTTTTATCATAAAGTTTCTCACTTTTGGAACATGAGGATTAAATTCCACAGCTCTATGAATTGCTTCCACAGCATTAATTTCCGCTGTGCTTAAACCTCGTCTGGAGGCTGTTTCTGGAGAGAATCTGTAAGAAAACCACAAAGTTAAGAAATGAATAATAAAAAAAATATGGATTTAGATCATAATCTAATCAGAGTTTCTGGTGATGATCAAAGACAAAACCAAATAACTACTAAACATCAAATTAAAGCCTTGGTCCAACGTATAATAAAGGCAGCATAAGAAATGGAAACCTTCAAATTTAGGTAACGAAAGACTTCAGAAGATCATTTAAGGCACACTTTGGGAAAGAGAATAAAATATGAAAGGCTACATGGGGATATCCAAAGAATCTCCCAAAAGAGAAGTACATTCTTATCAAATTTTCACGAAAAGGAAACAGACTGTGAATACTCCATTTTAATTCATGTAAATAGTAATCTAAAGTAACCAACCTTTTGGTTGGTTTCTGGATATCTTATTTGTGGAATAAAGTGAAATTCGTTAAAGGCAGCCACAAATGCAAGGAATACAGAACAATTCAGAATTATAATCTCAGAACAGATAGTAAGAAATTGTTTCCCCTATCACACATCTTATCATTATCATCATAGCTACTGTGTACTATACTAGTATGTACTTTCTGTCTAGCATTGTTTTAGTCATTTAGCACATGTAATCCTCACAGAACCACCCTAAAGTACTATTATTCTTAGTTTACAGATGAGGAAGAGACTCAAACTGATTAACTTGCCCAAAGATCCACACCTGGCATATGGTAGACTTGAATATGAGCCCAGGTTTACTTCAGCTCTAAAAAAGGTTTACTTTGCTCTTTCCACTACACATAGTCAGAAATCTCAGAGTCTCCTAAGATCAAGGTTATTCAGAAGGAAGTAGAGAGGAAAGTGAGCATTGCTCGAAGTCAGTGGATGGCAAACGTAATACTGAGTTCAGCAGTCTTTCTAAATTATTGTAGTTCCCATAACTACTTACTTATCTGAAACAGTCCTTGTCTTCAACAGTGCTGCTGTATAACAGATTGCTGCTGACTTTGGAAGGCTTATATCTGTAATAATAATTTTCAGTTTAGGTAAGAATTACCAAAAATATCTCAAGACAATTTTTAATAAAAATAATTCATACGACAAATTCAACAGCTATAATATACTAGTAGTACTAGAAGCATGTAGACATGTAGTTGGAAGACCTGAGTTCGAATCTTGATTCTACTATTTACTAGCTATGCATCCTTGAACTAGCCATTTTTTTTTAGTGTTGCTGTCATACTTTAATTCAGAAGTCAGTATAAAAGTTTAATACATGTAGCGAATTGCAGTGAGACAGGAGTAGGTTTTGTTTTTCTATAAGTAACTTCTTTAACCTCAGTTTTCTCTTCTCAAAATAGAAAAATGGTACTTTTCTGGAAGAAATTAAATTAACTTATGTCTGTGAAAGCCCTCAGCATAATGGTAAAAAGTACTCAACAAATGTTTATAATAATCTGCTTTCAAAATATACTATTCAGGGGGAAAGGCACAGTATAGCTGAAACTACTATGTAAAAACTCTACCTATTCAGAGAGAAAAACTAAGATTCAAAAAACAATAGAAATATTTAAATCCAGGTAATACAACCATGGGTGATTTTAATTTTTTCTTTTCCCCATGATTTTACATTTTCTACATTTTCTTAAATGATAATTTGCTAGAAAATAAAAGATTAATTTGGAACTATAATAAAATTAATTATATAAATATTTCCTAAACAATGCACAAAATAGAAAATCAATTGTGATACACTTCATAAACAAAACAAAGGATAAAAATTCATTTGATAAACAATAAAATAAAATAAAACAAAAATTCATTTGATGACATCAACAGATGTAGAAAAAGCATTGAAAAGATTCAACATCTATTTATGATAAAAACTCTCAGCAAAGTGGGGATAAAGGGAACACACCTCCAAATATTAAGGCTATATATGAAAACTACAGCTAACATCATAATAACAAAGCGTTGGAAGCTTTTTCTTCCTCTAAGATTGAGAATAAGACAAAGATGTCCACTTTCACTACACGTATCTATAATAATAAAAGCATAATATGCTAATTAGACCAGACAGCCGAACGACCTTTCAGACATCCTTCTGGACGACCTTCTGGACGAAGCCGGGGCTGCGAGGGCCGAGGCAAGCCGCCGTGGCTGCGAGGGCTGAGCCCCTTGCACGAATTTCGTGCATCAGGCCTCTAGTTCAACATAATTCAACATAATATTGGAAGTTCTAGTCACAGCAATCAGACAGAAAGAGAAATAAAAAGAAAATTGGAAAGGAAAATGTAAAAATGTCACTATTTGCAAATGACATGATACCCTAAAGATTCCACCAAAACTACATTAAAACTAATAAATGAAGTCAGTAAAATCTGAGAATGCAAAATTAATATTCAGAAATCTATTGCATTTTTACACACTAGTAACAAACTATCAGAAAGAGAAATTAAAGAACACAACCCTAATTATAATTGCATCAAAAAGAATAAAATACTGCCTGGCCGGTATGGCTCAGTGGTTGAGCATTGACCCATGAACCAGGAGGTCATGATTCGATTCCCGGTCAGAGCACATGCCTGGGTTGTAGGCTTGATCCCCAGTGGGGGCATGTAGAAGGCAGCCGATCGATGATGTTTCTCTCTCATCGATGTTTTTAACTTTCTATTCCTTTCCCTTTCTCTTTCTCTAAAAATCAATAAAAACACATTTTTAAAAAAACAGAATAAAATACATAGTAATAAATTTAACCAAAGAGATAAAAGATCTCTGCTATTAAAACTATAAGACATTGATTAAAGAAATTGAAGAAGACACAAATAAATGGGAGGATATACCATGCTCATGGATTGGAAGAATTAATATTGTCAAAATCCATATCACCCAAAGCAATCTATGGATTTAATGCAATCCCTATCAAAATACCAATGGCATTTTTCATAGAACTAGAACAAATAATCCTAAAATTTATGTGGAACCATACAAAAAACACATAGCCAAAGCAATCTTGAGGAAAAAAAAAAGTTGGAGGTATTATGCTACCTAAATTCAAATTATATTACAAAGCTATAATAATCAAAACAGTATGGTCTTGGGTGGCACAAAACAGATCAATGGAGCAGAATAGAGAGCCCAGAAGTAAACCCAAGCTTATATGGTCAAATTAATCTATGACAAAGGAGGCAAGAATATACAATGGGGTAAAGACAATAGTATTGGAAAAACTAGGTAGATACATGCAATAAAATGAAACCAGACTACTTTCATATACCATATACAAAAATAAACTCAAAATTGATTAAAGACCTAAAACCATAAAACTCCTAGAAGGAAACATAGCCAATAAACTCTTTGACAATGGACTTACTAATATTTTTTTAAATATATCTCCGAGGGCAAAGATAATAAAAGCAAAAGTAGACAAATGAGACTACATCAAACTAAAAAGCTTTTGTACCACAAAGGAAACCATCTACAAAACAAAAAAGCAAACTAGTGACTGAGAGATCTTTAAAAAAGATATCTCTGATAAAGGGTTAATATCCAAAATATATAAAGAACTCATACAACTCAACATCAAAAAAACAATTCGATTAAAAAATGGGCAGGGGGCCTAAGTAGACATTTCTCCAAAGAAGACATACAGATGGCCAACAAACACGTGAAAAGATGCTCAACATCACTAATAATCAGCAAAATGCAAATCAAACCACAATGATATATCACTTCACATCCGTCAGAATGGCTATTATCAAAAAGACAACAAAGAATACATGTTGGAGAGAAGGTGGAAAAAAAGAAGCCGAGGGACTGTAAACTGGTATAGCCACTATGGAAAACAGTATGGATGTTCCTCAAAAAATTAAAAATAGAACTACCATATGACCCAGCAATCCAACTTCTGGGTATTTATTCAAAGAAATCCAAAACACTAATTCAAAAAGATATGCACCCCTATGTTCACTGCAGCATTATTTACAAGAGCCAAGATATGGAAGCAACCTAAGTGTCCACTAATAGACAAATGGATAAAGATGTCATACATAGTATCTACACTAATAAAAGAGAAATATGCAAATTGGTATCACTCTGCTACGCCCACCAGCCAATCAGGATGAGTATGCAAATTAACCCAACAAAGATAGCAATTAATTTGCATATACAGGCACTGAGCGAAGACTGAAGATGACTGAAGATTGCAGTGGCCATGGAGCTGGAGCGAGCAGGGGGCTTGGGTTGCTCCCGGCGACGGAGGAAGTCAAGCTTCCAGCCCGCCCTGGACTCTGCTCAAGGAGTGGCCCCCGGCGACCCAGGCTTCCAGTCAGTCCTGGCCTCCGCTCGAAGAGCTGGGAGCAGCCAGAGCAGAGAAGCCAAGCCTCGCTGCTGCGGCTGGACCAAAGGCCTGTGTCCTGGGTGCTGGAGGAAAACCGGTGCCGGCAGCCAGGGGAAGGAAGGCCTATTGTGCGAATCTTTGTGCAACAGGCCACTAGTATACAATAAAATATTATTTGGCCATAAAAAAAGAAAGAAATTTTGCCATTTGCTACAACATGGATGGACCTAGAGTATTATCCTAAGTGAAATAAAGCATAGTGAGAAAGACAAATACTATACGATTTCACTTATATGTGAAATCTAAAAAACAAAATAAATGAACCAACAAAAACACAGAAATAACCAGATAGATACAGAGAACAAACTAATGGTCGCCAGATGGGAGGGGGTTGGGGAAAATGAGAGGAAAAGGTGAAGGGGATTAACAAGTATCAACTGCCAGTTATAAAATTAGTCTTGGAGATGTAAAGTACAGCATAGGAAATATCTATATATATATAAAAGCCAAGTGACCGGAACGACAGAATGACGAGTCGCTATGACGTGCACTGCGACGGCCAACCGGCCCAATCGGCCCCAATCAGCAACCCTGCAACCACCTGCAGCCCCTCCCCCTAGCCGGCCCTGCCCCCGATCCCCCCCCACCCCAATCGGGGGCAGGGCCAGCCGACCTACCTCCTGCATCCCCTCACCCCCAGTGGCCCCCACCCATACATGAATTTGTACACTGAGCCTCTAGTAGTCAATAATATTATAATAATTATATATGAAGTCAGATGGGTACTAGGCTTATCTGCTGATTGTCTCATAGGTATATAAATGCCTAATCAATATGTTATATACCTGAACCTAATTTAATATTGTATATCAACTAAAATAAAAAATAATGCCTAAAATAATATTATTAGGAGAGTAAGGCCACAGAATTCCTTTCAAGTTTTCGATTTTATAGATGTTCCGGCAAATGAAGAACTAAAGAACTAAATTGCTTTTAACTTCACAAGTCTAGAATGGTAAAAACTGGGGACTCATAAAAATAACTGAAAACACAGAAGCATATCTAAGTTGTGAGTTTTATTTTAGATTTAATTAATCAGGTCCTATCTGCTGTTTTATATTTGGTTCCTAAGCTTGTTCATCATAAGCATCATAAGCAGGCCATGCATCTGATCAGTTACATATGGAAAGAATTTCTCATAAATTTCTCCATGAGCCCACAGTATTCTGAAGCACTTCGTAAGAATTCCAGATGTTTAAAAGAAATAAACTTCTCTTTCCAAGTGTAACACATTTCAAACCTGCCAAGTCATAAGGATTCCCAAGCTAATGGGTAGGAACTTACAAATGGACAAGTGTGAATAAAACTAGTATGTCCTCTTATAGTGAAAGATGTAATCAGAAGCATTATGCTAGTTAGGATATATGCAGCTTGGGTTTAAAAGCTGATGACTCACTCAGAATGAGGAGAAAGGCTATGCCTTATAAAATTCTCCCAACTCCATTTGTGTTAAATTTGCACTGTTAATAGTATAACTAAAGGCCTGAAATTCATGCATGGGTAGGGTCCTTTGGCCTGGCTGGCGATCAGGGCCGATCTGTAGGGTGAGGGCGATTGGGGGGCCCCTGCTGGCACTTGCCTTGGCCGGCCTGGTGCCACCCACTAGCCGGCCCCGCCCCCCCCACCGCCGCCACTGCCAGTCACCTCCCTCTGCAGGGCTACAGGCAGGGTGATGGGGGAGGGGACTCCCTCTGGCACATGTCTTGGCTGGCCTGGGGCCTGAGGGCAGCTCCTGCGTTGAGTGTCTGCCCCCTGGTGGTCAGTGCAGGTCATAGCGACCAGTCGTTCCACCGTTTGGTCAATTTGCATATTAGGCTTTTATTATATAGGATAATAAAAATAGGCATTATATTGACTTCTTACTATTAGAAGACTAGTACAAAGAAATGGAATACCTGGATTTAAGTTCAGGCTTGCCACTTCCTGGCTGGGAGACCTTAGACAATTACTTAACCTTCTTCAACTTCAGTTTTCTTTTTACTAACTGGAGATAGTAAAAATTCTTGTTCTACCACATCACAAGATTATTATAAATATCAAATAAGATAAATTATGCTTTGTAACTAAAAAGCATTGTAAAATGTTATTCTGAATTACTCCTATACATACATATTGCTAAGCAACTTCTGTTAGCCTTCCCTGACACTCCCAAACAAATGAGGTACCATCCTTTGTGCACAGCACCTCATACTTTTCCAATTATCTCAGCTAACACATCATGTTTCAATATAACTACTATTCATTTGTCTGTCTGTTCCACTAAACTGTAAATCGTACGAGAGCTAAGTCCATGTCCTTTTGTTCACTACTGTATGCCAAGTGCCTCACTCATAGTAGGTACTCAGCAAACAAATATTGACAGAAGAAAAGTTCCTCCTTACAGGCCTTTGCTTCCAAAATTCCTGATAAGGAAGATTCTTTTTTAAAAACTATTTATCAAATTTATTGGAGTGACATTGGTTAATAAAATTATATAGATTTAAAGTGTACAATTCTATAACACATCACCAGTATATTGTACTATGTGTTTACCATCCAAAGTCAAATCTCCTTCCATCACTATATATTTGACATCCTTTTTCCTTGGCTACCTCCCCCAACTCCTTTTTCCCTCTGGTAACCACCACACTACTGTCTGCATCTATGATTTTTTTGTGTGTGTGTTTTTTGTCTTGTTTGTTCATTTGATGCTTTTAATTTTATATCCCACATGAGTGAAATCATATGGTTCTTAAGTTTTTCTGTCTGACTTATTTTACTTAGCATGATATTCCCAAAATCTTTGAAAGACTCTTTTTAAAAAATTTTGTATTAGTTTCAGGTGTATAGCATAATGGTTAGACAATCATATACTTTACAAAGTATTCCCCCAATATTTCCAGTACCCATTTGGCACCATGCATAGTTATTACAATTGAAATGACATTTCCTATGCTATACTTTGCATCCCCATGACTATTTTGTGAAGTAGTGCCAATTAGTACTTCTTAATCCCTTCACCTTTTTCACTCAGCAACCATCGATCTATTTTCTGCATCTATGAGCCTGTTTCAATTTTGTTTGTTCATTTATTTTGTTCTTTAGATTCCATATATAAGTGAAATCATAATGTATTTGTCTTTACTGACTGACTTCTCTAAACATAACATTCTAGGTCCATCTGTACTGTCGCAAATGGTAAGATTTCATTCTTTTTTATAGTCGAGTAATCGTCTATTGTATATATGTACCACAGCTTTTTTTATCCACTCATCTATTTTTTTTAAAATATATTTTATTGATTTTTTACAGAGAGGAAGGGAGATGGATAGAGAGTTAGAAACATCGATGAGAGAGAAACATCAATCAGCTGCCTCCCGCACACCCCCTACTGGGGATGTGCCCGCAACCCAGGTACATTCCCTTGACCGGAATCGAACCTGGGACCCTTCAGTCCGCAGGCCGACGCTCTATCCACTGAGCCAAACCGGTTTCGGCTATCCACTCATCTATTAAACGGCACTTGAGTTGCTTCCAAATCTTGGCTATTGTAAATAACACAGCAATGACCACAGGGATGCATATATTTTTTCAAATTAGTGTTTTGGTTTCTTTGGATATACATCCAGAAGTGTAATCGCTGGGTCATAAGGCAGTTCCATTTTTAAAAAATATTTTATTGATTTAGAGAGAGAGAAAAGGAGAGGGATAGAGAGATAGAAACACTGATAAGAGAGAAACATCATCGATCACCTGCCTCCTGTAGGCCCCCTGCAGGGGATGAAGCCTGCAACCTGGGCATGTGCCCTGACCAAGAATGGAACCCGTGGTCTCTTGGTTCCTGGCTCCACACTCAACCGCTGAGCTACACCAGCCGGGCAAGGCAGTTCCATTTTTAATTTTTTGAATAGTCTCCATACTGTTTTCCATAGTGGCTGCACCAATCTGCATTCCCACCAACAGTGCATAAGGGTTCCCTTTTCTCCACATCTTTTTTTTTTTTTAATATATTTCTTTATTGATTTCAGAAAGGAAGGAAGAGGGAGAGAGAGACAGAAACATCAATGATGAGAGAGAATCATTGATTGGCTGCCTCCTGCACACCCCCCACTGGGGATCGAGTCCGCAACCCAGGCAAGTGCCCTTGGCTGGAATTGAACCCGGGACCCTTCAGTCCAAAGGCCGATACTCTATCCACTGAGCCAAACCGGCTAGGGCATTCCCATCTTCACTGACAGGTGTGAGATGGTTCTCATTGTGGTTTTAATTTGAATCACTTAGAAGATTCTTAATAGCAACTTGCACCCATGGATTCTAAATATTGACTGGTAAGAATGATAAAAGAAAATCACAGAAATACTAGAATAGGATTGTACTTATGATTACATAATTTTAAAAAATTCTTTAACCATGTGATCAACTAAAACAAATATCACTCACCATCATATTTTGCTAGGACTGCCTGAACATCTGCATAGGCCTGTAATTCTAAAAGTGATTCTAGGAGATTTTCATGGATGTTCCACATGGTAAGAGGAGGAAATTCTTTCATCAACTGTATTGTAAAAGGAAAAAAATATTAAAATTACAGCAAAGGAACTCAATGGAGTTGAATCAGATTCACTGAAATAAAAATTCTTTTGTTTCTTAACAAAACTGTGGGACTCTATCCTTAAGCAATAATATCTTTTCATAAAAACTATCAATTAAAAAACAATGATTCTACATTAAAATAACTGGCAACTCAAACCACATTTTTAGTTTTTTGAAGAATATGAAGGTCCAGTTATCAAATTCACTTACATCTCTCATTATTTTTACTGCTTCTCTTATTCTTCCTAATTTTCTTGCACACATTGCCAATCTTCTTTTAATATAAGCCAGTACATTGGTATCTCTCCCTATTTAAAAAAAATGACACAGCTATCATTTTTGTATTATGATTTTCTATTTCATTAACATATCCATTAATTTTATTTGCTTACTCTGGCAGCTTTAATTAAAATTAAATGTGTCAGAATGGAAAAATATTAATGATTGTTGTATTTGGGTGATAAACATTAAATGTGGGTTCATTATACTGCTCTATTTGTGTATATGTTTGAAGTTTTTTATATTAAAAGCATAATATGTATATATTGAATTACTTTTACCTCTATCAAAAGGTAACCTGAGAATATAGAAAATAATCTGTGTATACTTGACAAATGCATGTTAATATTAATATAAAAGAAACACATACAATAGGGAGAAGTAACATTAACCTATTATTTTACATGTCTGCATAAACAATCTATTATTTTAACATTATTTATTGTTTTAACTGAATAAAGATTTTAAAGACAAAATTCCCATGGCTAGTGCAAACTTTTGCTCAATAGATACTAACTAATAAACTATAAAACTACTTCTAGAAAGAGCAAACTAATAGTTCTGTAACTATCTCAACCATATTTGAGATGATACAAGGACAAACGGCTAAACTTTTTTTATAAATGCAGTTTCATTAGTTCCAGACTGCAAAATTATATATTCTCACAGTTGTGTTTTATAACAAGCATTAATGAAACATACTGTATACATCAATATTTAGTTAGAGAGAAAACGTAAACCAAATTTTAATTTCCACAAATAAAAGATTTAGAACTTAACTGCTAGCAGATAATGCATTATGTACACATATGTCAATTTATGGCCCACTATCTGCCAAAATCATGAAACTAAAACTCTCTGGCCACACAAAAAAAGCAGGAAGCAGCAGTACTACAGATTCTAACATCTTTGGTAAAAGTGTCTCAATCATAATTGGGAGAGTATCTCTGTAAGGAGAAAGAAAGGACCTCAGTTGCTATGGCTCATAAGATCTCAAACACAACAGAGAAAAATCAACCACAGAAAGAATCCATGCCAAATATGGCTGGTTTTTGTGCTAAAGGGGCCACTCCCTGGCACTATATAGAGATACATATAGTCTGAAGAGCAACCAATTGATGTTCCCCTACGATTGCTTGGGGTAAGGTAAGGATAAAGGTAATAGCTGCTTGTCATTACTAGAAGGCTCTCGTGGTTCTAAGTTGTGTTCTCCAATGACCAGCCCAATTCTCACATGAAATAAATTACTATTAAGTCTTAGAGCAGCACATCTCTCAATAACAAGAGCAGATCTGTTTCCTTCCACAAGCATTCTCTAGCCAATATGTACTTTAGTCTTTCTGGCTTGTAGATATTATGAATAGATTATCACTTAGGAAAAGTAGCTACCTCTAAGTATTAAGTTTATTATTGTTGTTTTGTGTTTTAAACATAAAAGAGCCAATTGCAGGAAGTAAAAAAACAGGTAAAAATTCATTCTTATTTGCTTACTCAGTTGGGCTTCATGCTGAGGACTTTGGTGCTGACACTGCTGCGACCGCTTATAAATCGTTTCTCCTGCCTTAAGTGCCTGCTTAAATAACTTTTCAACATCAACAATAGTTGTTGCTTCTTCCTCAGCCAGTAGAATATATGCAGAGGCACAGCTATGGAGAAAGCAAGCAAGACAATTTTAAGTAAAACAGTAAAGCAAGTATATCTCTTGGGTATGTCCCTTTGTTCTTTGTTATATTTCCCTGCCTTTCCCTACATTTTCCATCTCTTGAAGAATAAAAACAACTTCCATCAATATTTTAATTTATTAGGGGCATACTGGTATAGTCTTAATGTCTTATTTGCACATTTTTTCCTTTCCTATCTTTCTTTCCCTCCCTTTACTTTCTTTTACTTCTATATTCATTCTGATGTTATCCTGTATTTTCCTTTTGTGGAAGAGGGGAGAAAAGATATATAAAGAATTATCTAACAGTTATTCAAGGGACTATGTACTCTAGTGGTCATGCCTGCTCTAAGTCACTATGTACTTTGTAATATCCATCAAATGGATAATGGAGGTATAGGAAAGTGTGATGTTTGACAAGAATATCACATGGCCAATTAGGCACCTTTCCAATTCGACTCAAAAACATATTCCAGGACTAGACTTTTTTCACTACACTGATATTTCCTCTTTGTGCTGCCCCATCCTCTCTCAGCTTTATCAACAATGGCACTGCAACAAAACATCCCTTGATCTGCAGCCTAGCCTTTCCTCCTACAGTCCTCCTCTCACCTGTCACACCCATGCTGACTCCAAGTTTCCCTTTTCTTCACCCCACCAAAACACAGATTTCTCTTTATAGCCTTTAAGTCAAAAGCTGTCTAATAAAATAACTTGTTTGAGGACAAAAAGAAAGAGAAACAGAAAGTTTCCTTTCTATTCCCAGAAATAACTAGTTCATTTCTCTTCTAGAGACATCCTAGTTCTGATTATCTAAGCATAGATTGTCCAGTATTGTGGTCACTGGCCTCATGTAGTTACTGAGCACTTGAAATGTGTCTAGTCCAAACTGAGATGCACACCAGTCAGTGTATGGTCAGTGTAAAACGCACACTGAATTTTGAAGACTTAAAAGAATATAAAATACTTAATTAACAATTTATTTTTAATGTTGAATATATTTTAAAACATATTAATATGTTGAATGTAGCTAAATAAAATATATTATTCAAGTTAACTGAATATATTTTTTTACTTTTTAAATGTGGCTACCAGAAAATTTAATGTTACATATATGATTTGCATTACAATAGGGGAGAAATTATTAATAAAAGTACAAGGTGAGCATGGAACAAAAGTGATGGCAAGATAGCGACAAAAAATTGGAGACAAGCCTTGGCTGGTATGGCTCATTTGGTTGAGCATCATCCCATGCACCAAGAAGTCATGGGTTTGATTCCAGGTCAGGGCACATGCCCAGGTTGTGGGCTTGATCCCCAGTAAGGGGCATGCAGAAGGCAACCAATTGATCAATCTATTGGTGTTTCTCTCTCTCTCCCTCTCCCTTCCTCTCTCTCTAAAATTAATTAAAACATATTTTTAAAAAAATTTTTTCATTGGGGACAAGACAGATCTTTCATTTGGAAGATGTAAATCATACCATTTCAGCATCCTTCAACTAATACCTTAATTTGAAGCATATAATAATTTCACTAATCAACAGAGACTTCTTCATTACATTGGATTAAATTAATCTGTCTATCCTTATGAATTAATTATTTTAGCTTCATAGTAAGTTTTGAAATCAGGAAGTAAGTCCTCTAACTTTATTCTTCTTTTACAAGACTGTTTTGGCTATTTGAGATCTCTTGCAATTCTAAGTGAATTTTATAATCAGCTTGTCCTTTCTGCAAAAAATAGCAACTGACATTTTGATTGAAATTACATTGAATTTGTAGATCAACTGGAGGAGTACTGCCATCTTAACAATATTAAGTCTTCAATCCATGAACATGGGATGTCTTTCCATTTATTTAGGTCTTCTTTAACTTCTTTCAACAATACTTTTTAGTTTTTAGTGTACAAGTCTTCTACCTCCTTGGTTAAACTTTTTTTTTTTTAAATTGATTTCAGAGAGGAAGGGAGAGGGAGAGAGATAGAAACATCAGTGATGAGAATCACTGATCGGCTGCCCCTCACTGGGGATTGAGGCTGCAACCCTGACATGTGCCCTGACTGGGAATGGAACCATGACCTCCTGGTTTATACGTCCATTCTCAACCAGAGCCACACCAGCTGAGCTAAACTTCTTAAGTATTTTAATATTTCTTATGCTATTGTAAATGGAATTGTTTTCTTTTTTTCCTTTTCAGATAGTTCGTTGCTAGTATATAGAAATACAACTTATTTTTATGTGTTGATCTTGTCTCTTGCAACTTTGTTGATGTCATTTATTAGCTCTGATAATTTGTGTGTGTGTGTGTGTGTGTGTGTGTATTCTTTACAATATCCTGCATGTATTATGTCATCTGTGAATAGTGATAGATTGGTATGCTCAATAGTGTACCAAAGGTTTCTTAGGTTCTGTTCATTTTCTTCATTCCTTTATTTTTATTTCTCCTCAGACTAGGTAATCTTAATTGATCTAAATCCAGTTTACTGATTTTTTTCTGCCTGCTCAAATCTGTTGCTGTATTCATATAGAAAAATTTTTATTTTGGTGATATTTTTCAACTCTAGAATTTCTATTTAGTTCCTTTTACTTATTTCTATCTCTTTCTACCTACTTTTTAATGGTGAGGCATAATTCTCCTATTTTCCTTTAATTCTTTGTACATGGCTTCCTTTACCTTTTTGAGCATGTTTAAAATAGTTGATTTAGACCTGGCTGGTGTGGCTCAGTCAGTTGAGCATTCTCCTATGCACTGTAAGGATGCCAGTCTGATTGTCAGTCAGGGCACATACACAAGTTGTGGTTTAATCTCCAGTTAGGATGCATGTGGAAGGCGATCGATTGGTGTTTCTCACATCAATGTTTCTCTCTCTTTCTACATCTCTCTCTAAAATCAATTAAAAACACATTTTAAAAAATAAAAGTTTATTTAAAGACTCTGTCTAGAAAGTACAAAGTCTGGGCTTCCTCAAGGGCAATTTCTATTCATTTCCTTTCTTTTCTGTGTATGGGGCATATTTTGTTTCTTTTGCATGTCTTGTAATTTGTTCTTGAAAACTGGGAATTTTGAATATTATAATCTGGAAACTCTAAAAATCAGATTTCTTCTCCTCCCCAAAGTTTGTTGTTACTGCTTATTGTAGTTGTTTGTTTAGTGACTTTCTGACTTATTTTGTAAAGTTCGTATTCTCTATCATGTGTGACCAATATTGTTAAGATGGCAGTACTCCTTCAGCTTAGTGGGCAGCCAGTAAATTTGGTAAAGATTGCCTTAAACACCTGGAACCAAAAACAAGTCTTTGCAGATGGCTTTGTGTGTGTTTGTGTGTGTGTGTGTGTGTGTGTGTGTGTGTTGGGGCACACCTTCAACATTCAATCAGCCAGTTTATAATTCTGCCTTAGCCTTCACTTTCTGTTTGTACAGAAGCTGAGAATTAGACAAACATGGGAGCTTAGGGTCTTCTTAAGCATGTACCTTGGGCAGGTGTGCAGCCTTTGAGATTTTCAGGAATATGTGGTAGCTTTTCAAAATCTCTATTTCCAAAGTATCTCATTCCCCAGCTTTCCTCCAAAGCTTTGATTTGTCTATTTTTTGCCCCAACTTTTATCCCTTGCCCCAGGCAGCAGGAACTAGTGTATTTGCCTTTAAATGTTTTAACAAATGCCCCTCCACCCAATGTAGTTGTGTCAGTACGGGGTGAGTTCCAAATTATACTAAAGAAAGGCAAGTCCCTTGGGCTGGTCCTTCAAATAAACAACCACAATTCTTTGAGAATTAGGTCCATTCTACTTCTTCTGGAAGTAGGAACCTATTACCAGGATTTGGACTGTTGTTTCCAAGGGTGCCACTGAACTAGGGAGTAGGGGATGGGGCCAGTGTAAGTTAAAACATTACAAAGCTCTCTTACAGAAATTCAACTGATTTTTTTTAATTGATTAAGCATTCTCCAAGTTGCTATAAAGTTTTGATTAGTTTCCAGAGTTTCAATAAAGTTGATTTACTGCTTTTGGAATTCCCTATACTACCATTTTTCTTCTGCTTTGGGAAGCTCTTCTTAATAAGGATAATATATCTGGGGAGAGAGGGAAGGAGGAGGAACACAGGGGACAATGCTAATTTCACATTATTCAGGAAGTATACCCTGATTAATCCCAACTGGGGCCATATTTTAGTATTAGATTAATACACATTGATCTGTCTCATTTAAATATTAAGTTGACTTCTGATTTTACATTTTGTCTTTTCAAAATATAAAGTTAATACAAAGAGCTATAAAAAATGCTTGTTAACATGAAAAAAATTAAGTTAGAGCTACATTTTACTTATCTTGAATCCCCATCTCATGCTTCCCATCCCATTAGTAACTAAAGTTCGCAGGGCTGAATGAATGCTTTAAATGAATGATTTAAACGAAAAACAAAATTAAAACAAGTGGCATAGTATTTTAGTACTCTTTAATATCAAGTATTATCACCAATTAGATCAGCACTCTCCGTTTTTAAAGTATTGCTAGCATAATTTCTATTCAATGCATAGATAAGTTTACTTTCGGAAGCAAAACACATATCGGTGAACATGGCAAATTTTGTCTCTAGTATGCAAAAAGAGAAAGGGGATTGCTAATGACTCCAAGTATCTAAGAAACAGACAAAAGGAAACATTAAATCATTTGCCTGGGTTTCCTTCAAAACAAATTTATTTTCCATATATTTCAAACTTACTCATTGTTTAATTCTAAAGCTTGGTAGGCTGCTTTAATTCGAGATAAAGGATTTCTTTCCCTCCATGCCTTCTGCATAACTGTAGGAAAAATATTTCAAAAAGTAGATGAGATGTAAACATAAATAATCTTATGCAAAACACATGAAGAATGAGCTAGGAGAGTAAACAAAGACTTAAATAACATGTTCTTAAATGTAAGAAAGAAGAAATTGGGGTGCTAGCTCACATTAACTTTATGAGAAATTTATATTAAATTTGGAAGTTTCACATATAATAAAAAGAAATATACTGTTTTTCTGGTCTATTTTAATAACAACACATAAGGTACTTAATCAAATTAATCACATCATTATACATGAACATTTACATACTATATGCATATAAAAATAGAGTTTGAGTGACATATTATAATCAATATGAAATATTCTAGCTCTTTATCATTTTGAAAAGGTTCTTTGGAACTGCTAGAAATATATAAAAGTTAAAAAATAAAGTCTTTGTCTAATCAATGATTCAATCTAGGAAGAATGTCTGAATTTACATTTTGTATTCAAAGGGGGGGATTAATTTAGAATATAGTACATTTAAGGAAAATGTCAGTTTCTACAAAGACTCAACAAAAGCCTGAATTAGAATCTCTCTGAAATAACAATATCAGCTATCATTTACAGTACCAAATGAAAATTTCACACTAAGTAAAGTTTCTTAAAAATTAAACAAATAAAGTAGATTCATGAAACTATCTGGCCTATTTCAAGGTTGATAAGAAAAATAGAGAATCTATAAATGTTGTTTTTGGAATAAAACCCACAACTGTCCAGAAAGAATAATGTGGAAAATGTGTGAGTTTTCCTTTGGAAACAAAATATTAGTCTTGGCTTAGAAAATAAGACAGTATATTCTACTTGTGTAACAAAAATACATTTCTAATATCAAACATGTCACCAGCTAGCTGACAGCTAATGCTTCCTCAACTTGACAAACTGATGCACATCAGCACCCATCTGATAATAACCAGGTAAATAGCATTTTACTGAAACATTAAAATACAACATAAAATTAAATATAATATTAGATTTGCCATTTTTGATGGTGGGTTCTCTTCTATAAGTTACATGATACAAGTCAAATTTTGTGAATCTTTACCAATATTTTATTTTTAAATTTAAAAATGTATTTATTTAGAAGCATTCAGAATGTCAACAAAACAGCTGCAACTTTTTTGCAATTACAGAATGGTATTCAGTTAACAGAACAAGAATTATTTCATATAAACTGCATCAGAGACAACTGATGATGAAAAAATTGCCATCCCCATATATAATTTGTGCTGTGCACCAACAAGAACCTGCTTTAAATTTCCATGGCAATTTACACCTCCATACTGTACCAAGCAAGGTTAGTGGCTACTGAGAATATCACCAGGACAGGACTGTCTAAAAACACATTTGGTAGTGTGTTAACCATACAAAAAAAGGACACAAATCTTACACAGCCTTACATTTCAATTTTTTTCTTCAGAAGGAGTGATTTGTGTATGGGGGGGCGGGTTAAATGCTTTAAAGACAAGAAAAGAAAACTACGCTAGAACCAACTTATTTAGCATCATCCTCTTCTTCTTCCTCCTCCTCCTCTTCATCTTCATTTTCTTGCTTTTTTCTTTTTCAGTCTTAACAACTCCCTTTTTTGCCTCATCAGGCTCTTCTCTAGCTCGATATGCAGTAATACCCTTCTTGTAGTTCTCCTTCAGCTTAGCAGCCTTCTTTTCATAAGGCTGCTTGTCATCTGCAGCAGTGTGATTTCAAAATCCCCAGCTTCTTTGCAACATCACCAATAAACAGGACAGGATGCTCTCCTTTGATTTTGGAGCGATACTCAGGACAAACAAGAAAAAGGCTGAAGGAGGCCTCTTGGGTGCATTGGGGTCCTTGAATTTCCTTTTTGTTTCCCCTTTAGAAAGGATATAAGTTTTCATTTCTCTTTCATAATAGGCCTTGTCCACCTTTGCCATGTCTTCAAATTTTCCTTTCTCTTCAGCCGACATGGTCTTCCACCTCTCTGAGCACTTCTTAGAAAACTCTAAGAAGTTGACTGAAGTACTTGGGCACTTCCTCCCTGTGCTCTTCCTGGCAGGTTTGCACAAAGAAGGCATACGAAGACATTTTGCCTCTTGGCTTCTTAGATCTCCTTTGCCCATTTTCAAAAAAAAATTTTTAAATTGATTTAGAGAGAGGGAGAGAGAGAGAGTAAAAGAGAGAGAGAAGGAGGGGGAGAGAAAGGAGGAAGAGAGAGAGAGATGAGAGAGAAACATCAACTGGCTGCCTCCCACATGCACCCCAACTGGGGATCAAACCCACAACCAGGCTATGTGTCCTGACTGGGAATCGAACCCCTACCTTTTGGTGTACAGGACGATGCTCCAACCAACTGAGTCACACTGGCCAGGAACTGCCCATGTTTAATTACTTTCCTCAGGGAGCACACAGTCGCCAAGGGCCCGCACCCACCCTGACACTGTCTCTATGGAGCTCAATATACTGTGATGGCGCTCTTTACCAACATTTTAAATGGTTTGGTATTCTAGTATATTAAGAATATATCTCAATTTATTTAACCAATTCTCTTTTGATGGACAATTAGATTACATCCAATTTTTTTGCACCAGGCCTCTAGTTTTTTTACTAAACAGAAATATTGTGAAAACACATTTCAATATCTACCTTTGTATACCCGACCAAGAAGTGGAATGGTTGGTTAAAATGTATGCATCTTTTAAAAGATTCTGAATTTATACTCCAAAATTCCTCCCAATAAAATTGCATTAATTTACATTATTTCAGGCAGTGTAGAAGAGTGATTGTTTCCCTACTGCCTTACCAACACTGAATAATATCAGTCTTTATTAATACATGAAAATGACCTCATTTGCATTTGCATGTCTTTTATTTCTAGTAAGGTCATCAAATCCAGCTTTAAGCATTTTTTCTTATTCTTTTGTTTTCAACTGCACTATCCAGCCTCTCAATATTATTCTTCACAACCAATGCAGTTCTAAGTCAAAGGGGAAATAAAGTAAAGGAAGAAAAATATGTATTTCCTTCTAAGAAAAGGTTAAGGAATAATTTAAAGTAAAATGCTGATTTAGTATTCACCTGTCCACTTTAAGAGCTCTCAATATGCTTAAAAATAACACAAGCAGTTAGCAATTCAATCAAATTTATTTATTTTCAATTTAAATAATAGTCTAACATGCTAATAAACAGAAAAGACACTAGCATTTATCTCAAGATCAGGAATCACAAATATTAATGTCTACAAAGGCTAGGCAAAAAACATAAATGAATGAACTAAAAACATATGCACTGTCTAAAGAAGAATCACAGCTCAGGTCTAACTGATTAATGCCAAGTAGAAATGTAGGTCCAAGTATGCCATATTTTCCAAATTTCTAAAGTGTAAATCTGAATTTTAATGTTGTCTCCTAGTTTTTAAATGTTGAAAAAAAAATACCATGAAAATGAATTATCCAAAATCACTATTGGCTGGCCTTGAGGATATGTTTGTTCTGTTTTAGATAAATCAACAGGATGAGAACAAAATCTACTAATGTAGTAATTTCTGATGACAATATTCAAGAGAAATTTATCATATCACACATATATACACATTTGTCTGAAAAGATCAATATGGAACCAACAGTCCATTTCTGGATTAGCATTCACAGGTAAAGTCTGTCCTTGATTTTGGTCTTTAGCTGGGATTATGTGTACCTCTAGAAGTACATGACGACCAAAGTGCAAGGGCCAAAACAAGATGCATGGTTTTAAGAGAACCAGTTTCTAAAGCCTTAACTTAATGACTCTTTCCTATAACTAATCTATCTGAAGAATGTTCCTCTGATTGGTCTATGCATCATGCAGGTTTTCCATTCCTACCCAACATCCACTTTCTCACTCCCCAAAAGATATATTCCTTTCTCCTACTTTGTAAAAGTAAGTCTTACTTCTCACCTATCCTGAATCTTCCCAAGGTGCATTGCTCTACAGTATAAAAATCTTCAGGTGCCAAAGGGACAATTTAAAGTTCAGGTTTGGGAGTAGCCATTTTTAATCAAGGAACCTATAATAGGGTTTCCACCTTTAACTTATTTTTTTTAACAGTGAAGCTCATCATTATTCTGGCCCTTGGATACACTGAATTCAAGTATATAGTAGAGTAGGGAGGGAGTGATAATGTTTACCAGTTCCATTTATCAGCATCCCACTCCCCTTACTATCAAAGAATGCATTCTCCTACAGGAAGGTCCCCTCACAATAAGGCCAAGAGGGCATTAGTAAGAAATAATAAAGGCAGTGGAATCTTATTTTGGCCGAGATAAGGTCTAGGCCAGCTGTGGGCAAACTAGGGCCTGCGGCGGATCCGGCCTGTTTGAAATGAATAAAACTAAAAAAAAAAGACCGTACCCCTTTTATGTAATGATGTTTACTTTGAATTTATATTAGTTCACACAAACACTCCATCCATGCTTTTGT